GACAGAGCCTCAAGTTTTCACCCTGGGTAGAGTGCCATGGCATCACAGCTCACAGCAACCTCCAACTCCTGGGCTCAAGCGATTCTCTTGCCTCTGCCTCCCAAGTAGCTGGGACTACAGGCGCCTGCCACAATGCCCAACTATTTTTTTGGTTGTAGTTGTCATTATTGTTTGGCAGGCCCAGGCTGGATTCAAACCCACCAGCTCAGGTGTATGTGGCTGGGGCGCCTTAGCTGCTTGATCCACAGGTACCAAGCCTCTGTGGTAATTTTATAGAGATAGGATCTCTCTCTCTCTTGCTCAGGCTGGTCTCAAACTCCTGACCTCAACTGATCCTCCCACCTTGGCCTTCCAGAGTGCGAAGATAACAGGAGTGAGCCCCTGCGTCCAGCCAGAACTGACCTTCCTTTCCTTCCTTTCCTTTCTTTCTTTTTGTAGTTTTTGGCCAGGGCTGAGTTTGAACCCACCACCTCTGGCATATGGGGCTGGCGCCCTACTCCTTTGAGCCACAGGCGCCGCCCCAGAACTGACCTTTCATTCTACAATGTACTCTATGGAGTTTTGCATGGTTTTGCTGGGTTTTGATCATTTCTTTTATAATTTTTTTCAGTAACTGTTTTTAAAATGTGAACAGTTGTACTTACTTGCCTTTCATATATAGCTTTTGGATTGGGGGAAGTAAACATCTTCTACCTGTATCTGAATAATGACTATCACTGAATTTGGTGTTAAATGGCATCTGTACATCCAAAACCTTATCTGAATTTCTAGCCGCAGCTCCCCAGTACATCTTTTAAGCTGGCACATGCTTTCACTCCCAGATTCTCCAACTTAACTGGGGGCAGAGTTGATGGTTTATTCAACTTGTCTCTCCAGTGCCCACCAAACAAGGGGCTAGTATTACAGAAAGTCTCCCCTTCTTTTTTAACTACTCAGTGTTGCCAAAGCCTCATTACTCAGCTGTTTCTCTAAGAAACATTACACTGTTTTCTCTAAGAATTGCACAACAAAAGCTTCTGTGAACACCTGTGAATGGCTAGAACTCTGCCAAGGTTTAGCTGGGGCCATTTGTGATTTGGTTACACCATCTGCTACAAAGCTAGAAACTTGCCCTCCAGTTCTGCAGAAAGAACAGTAAGAAATCACTTAGAAGTCTGGCAACATTTTCTTTCATGGACACAGGAGGTATGTCATAAGCTTTCCAGGAAAGTTGCTAGAAATGCTCACTTGGCATTTCCACAGCTCCAGGAATTGGCTGGAAAGGAAAAATGACAACCCTGCAGATAAAGCAGGTGTCAAAGTAAAGCCAGGAGACAGAGAGGCTCACCTGGCAGAAGGTAAGGGTCCACCTAACTTGTCAACTTAATGGTCCTTTCACTATGTTTCCCAGAGAGCAGTGTATTTGAATTGGAAATAACTGCTATTCATTAATCCCTGATAACTTCTGGAACTAGAACATCCAGTTATATGTTTAAACCATAGAAGTGATTTTTATGTGAACTGTGCTCCAGGTCCATAATGCTTTACCAGAAACACAGTGGCCTCAACTCGTCAAGAAGCTAGAGAAAAAGCAGTGAGCCAAGGAGACGCGGAGTAAAAGGAACACAGAGAGGGTGGACTTGAGAAGGTCACAGGAAGAAACAATTTTCCCTTTAACATTTTTTTTTACATTTATTAAAAATGATTCTTTTGTCTTCTCTAACTTGAACACTAATATGTCCCTATGGTGAAAGTCTGAAAATTCTGCTGGGCACAGAGG